GGAGGCCCAGCTAGCTCGATTTGACAGCCTGGAGGAGCTGGTAAGAAAGGACCGGGAATTGGTTTGTTGTTTGTTCTGTTGAATGTGTATTGCCTTGAGGTAGAGTGGTTAAAGATGAGGCCGAGGAAGGATCCCACCCCACACAGATGGAGACATGGGGAACATGTGAGTGTGTGTCATTTGCTGATGGTGATACTTCTGATTGGAGCCGTGAGACAGACATTCAAGAAACATTCTCTCATGTAGTGCTCATAGTCAATCTGGAACCCCAGATATGCCATTTTACTGAGATACCTCGTGGTCTCATGAGGATTTTGCTCCAAGCCACCATATGTTGCATCCTGAAGGTGATAACTGTTAATAACAGCAAGGAGAGGCTTAACCAGAAACTACCCCAACCACGGAGGGATCTGCCATTAAAATCAGTACTTTAACTCAAATGAGGTACTTATGAATTATAGCTGTCAACTGGATCCACTGAGAACTGAGGGCTATTATAGCTCCCAAGTCTGTGTCCCTCAGTTACACCCTTCTGTCATCTAAAGAGGAAGCTGTGGGGTGGGGACACTCAAGGGTCATCTGAAACAGAGACACACATATATTTGCTTTGCATGTTTTATGACAGAATTTCCTGAAGAGATACAAAGGGAATTTTGACTACTGGATTGGCCTGCGCAGGAACTCACCAGAGCACCCTTGGAGATGGACAGACAACACTGAATATAACAGCTTGTATGTTTTAAAACCACTTTTCCTTCTACTGTGTTCATGTGTTGTGTTTGTGTGAGCTGTGGTTATGAAAGATGAAGGCTGTGGCATGTGAAGCCAATGATACTGCCTCGGAGGTATATTCGGCATCATTTTTAAAACCTTTACTTAGTGTGATTTTACTCAAAATCTTTATCATGATGATGGCATCTGAGGTAGCTCTTGTCTGCTCCTGCACCAATTTAAAATGTCTTGTTGTTAAATGCCCTGTTTGGAATGTAGACAGAATCTCAGATGGTCTATGAGGGCTCTGAAACCTCAGGAAGCCACTGCAGAAGTGCTAGCCTGAGGCTCATCAGTCCACTGTGTGCATGGCTGCACCAGTTCACAGAAGCAGAAACTCTAAGGACATCGGAAACCTCCTCTGACGTCTTGTAATCAGAGCGCACCCAAGACAGTTCTTGGATGTGAGCATAGCTGTTTTGAACGGAGCCATTATACTGGAATGTTAGATCACAGACCCAGTCTTGTCCACATTAAAGCCCTTTCAGCAATTTACTAAGAAGTGGGTTTCCCCATATGTAAAATGCTTCAAAACAGAATTGAAAATCATCCTCAGTGAGGCCACCCATGGCTGTAGTTCATTTGAACGTGGCAAGAAGCACCAGTCCAATGCTTTGTACACACAGTTCAGGGTTCAACATGGGCAAATGACAAAGGTGTGGTGTTCGAATCAAACCCTGAGAACATAAAAGTCACTAGGTGTAAATCTCGTGCAGATGATTCCTCCTGGGCTCTGCCTTCCTTTGATTCATATTACAAGCAGTGGAGACAGGCAAGATTTCATTGCCGGGGGCGAATGCAGTTCTGCGCTCTACAGATTTACTGTTTTGGATTTATTTTCAGGGTTCCCATCCGAGGCGTGGAAGAACATGCTTACCTGAACAACAATGGCATCAGCAGTGCCCGGGTCTATGCAGACAGGAGATGTATCTGTAGCAAGCCCAACAGCTATACACTTCAGTGCCGAATCCCTTTTTCTTCTTTCTAGTCTTTGCCAAGAGGTGCTTTGTAACCTGCCATCTACAGTTGCTGCTCCATCCCAAATAGTTTGCCAACATTGCTATCAAAAATTCTCCATATCATAAATGAAAACCACCATGGTGACACCCACCTTTAATCCCAGGAAGCAATGGCAGGAAGCAGAAAGGTATATAAGGCATGAGGACCAGAAACTAGGTCTTGTTAAGCTTTTAGGCTTCTAGCAGCAGTTCAGCTGAGATCCATTCAGATGATGACACAGAGGCTTCCAGTTTGAGGAAACAAG